GAACAGGTGGTTAACCTTAATTTTTTTTCTCAGTTGAGCTGATTTTTAAAAATTTTATTTTGAATTTTATGATATAATTCTGTAGAGTCTGGGATTCCCCCCACCCACCCAAATTCCCACTCCTGGACTGATTTTCCCCATATTGTTACAATGATATAGTCCTTCATAGGAATTGTAATTCCATCAGTCTGTTATTTAAGTGTGTTCTGACGTTGCATGCACAGAAAATGTCGGACAGTCCAGCATTGCATTGTCTAGATGTGTCCAACAGTTTCATTGGGAAAAGAAAAACATGTAAACAATGCTCTCAGAAGCTATTGCCTGATCCTCAACCCTTCCCACCCTGGTCAACTTATAAACATCAAAAATAAAATTAACAAAGAAAAAGAGTACTTACAAGGTGGAATTATGTAAAGGACAACAGAAACATTTTTGAATAATGATATGAAATTGGTTCATATTAAAGGAGTTTTTTCTAGAAGAAAAGTAGCCATCTTGAGGAGACTCCACAGGAGAAAATAGAAAGATACAAAGTACAGCGCCTGGCGCTGTGGCCTAGTAGCTAAAGTCTTCAGCTTGAACATGCCAGGATCCCATATGGGCTTCGGTTCTAGTCCCAGCAACTCCACTTCCCATCCAGCTCCCTGCCTGTGGCCTGGGTAAGCAGTGGAGGATGGCCCAAAGCCTTGGGACCCTGCACCCGTGTCGGCTACCTGGAGGAGGCTCCTGGCTCCTGGCTTTGGATCAGCGCAGCACTGGCCATTGCGGTCACTTCAATAGTAAATCAGTGGTTGGAAGATCTTCTTCTCTGTCTCTCCTCCTTTCTGTGTATCTGACTTTGCAATAAAAATAAATAAATCTTTAAAAATCTTTATATATATGTATGTATATGACAAGCGCATAGAAAAATAGACCCAAATGTTAATTTTATAAAATCAGGATAAAATCTGCAATTTTTACATTAAAGTTATCATAAACAAATACCTTGAGAAGTAACTGCACATATGTGTCGAGGTGGGTAATCATAGGTAAGGTTAAATTTCCTTGTGTCATTTTTAAACACAAGAAGTACTAGCCACATATATTGTTAAAATCTAAGTGTTCATGTTTAGATATTAAATGTGTGTGTATGAGAGGCAGGATGATAAAATGAGGACCAAACATTCCCATGAGCTCAAGCAGTGCAGATGAACCCTCCCGTTTTAAAAAAGGAGTTAAATATAAGAAGTAAAATTATATATAGAAAATCCATGATATGAGCATATACATAAAAAGAATGTGAAAATATGAAGATGCTACAAAGTTAACAGTGAAATAATGAAAATATTGGGAAGCAAATGCAAAAATGAATTAATTGCTAATTATGCAAAATATTTGTAAAGGATGTAAGCACTGCCTTATGTTTAAATGCCCAGTAATATATATGTACTAGTTATGGTTTATACTTCAGCATGTACAAAGTCGAATTTAAAGAAAAATAATTTGACAAGTTAATTGCCAAGAAAGAATTCATACAATAGGAAGACTAAAGTCAGTATGTTTATAGTAAATGCAGACAATAAAAATGTGATCCAGTTGACTTACTACTATACAGTGCCGTGCATTACCCCCAACAAATGGAGAATGAATGCTATTTTTAATAATTCATACCCTTTTTGAACATTGTGCAATATTACAACCTAGCTTTTATTTTTTTTTAAGATTATTTTTATTGGAAAGGCAGATTTTTTAAAAAAAAATTAAAATACTTATTTGTTTTTCTTTTTTTTCTTAATTTCTGTTTTTTTTTATTGCATTTCATTTTATGATATCATTTCAAGGGCTCTGAGGTTCCCCCAACCCCACCTTATTGCAGTATTACAGTTCATATCCAGTCATGCTTCTTTCATTGCATGCATGTACCATGCATAGAATCCAGCATCTTATTGTCCAGAGAAATTCAACAGTTTTTTTTTTTTTAAGACTTATTTTATTTTTATTGGAAAGGCGGGTATACAGAGAGGAGAGATAGAGAGGAAGATCTTCCATCAGATGATTCACTCCCCAGGTGGCCGCAATGGCTGGAGCTGAGCCAATCCGAAGCCTGGAGCCTCTTCTGTGTCTCCCACGCAGGTGCAGGGTCCCAAAGCTTTGGGCCGTCCTTGACTGCCTTCCCGGGCCACAGGCAGGGAGCTGGATGGGAAGTGGGGCTGCCAGGATTAGAACCGGCGCCCGTATGGGATCCTGGGCGTGCAAGGCAAGGACCTTAACCACTGTGCCACTGCGCTGGGCCCAAATTCAACAGTTTCTTGAGGAGACCATCTCTGGTCTAAAAGCAGAGCTGGCAAAATATCATTCTGATAGATTAAAAGCCATAACATAACATCAGTAGCAATTTACAACATTAAGGGGTTATTTGACATGGTATTGAGTGACTAATATGTTAGAAAATGCCACATGGAATGGAAGAAGCCCAAATCTTTCCTTGCAGAGTCCAATGACATCGGAATAACAGCCAGGAGGCCTGAGTGGTTGGCAGAAACAGAACAGTAAACTCCCTTTGGTACTAGGAAGAGGAGCTTTCTCTGGTCCTTACTTAGTTCCATCTTTGGATCCACACCCTCTCTTGCAGTGACCATCAGGGTCACCCCAGAGGCCCCCCCCAAAACAAAACAAAACAACAAAATTAGAATAGATAGAGAACAACAGGGAAAGCTTAGAACCAGACAGGAAATGGTCAGCGGGGACTCACATATGCCTTACTAGGTAGGACACAAGATTAGTTACTCCTTACTGGGGTATTGAAGATTTCTCTACACAGCCCTCCTAAAACTGTGCTGTTCCTCAACTGTTGACATATGCCTTGTTAAAGCTATAAGTCAGTTCAGACTATCCTAAAATTTGCCAAGTTCGGTAAAGATTATGCTTCAATACAATAAACTGCTAAATACAAAAATGAAAATAGACACGAGACAGCTGAATAGTATCCTATGGCCATTTTAAGGTGGATAGAAGCCGGTTGTATATAAACTAAAATTGAAATGTCAATGAAATAGTCACAGGATGTGGTTAAGAACTTGCATTTTCTAACATATCAGTCACTCAATACCATATCAGTTAACTCCATAATGTTGGAAAGGCAGATTTATAGAGAGGAGAGACACTCCCCAAGCCTCCCTAATGGCCAAAGCTAAGCTGATCCAATTCCAGTCCTCCTCTGATTCTCCCACATGTCTCAGGGTCCCAAGGTTTTGGACTGTCCTTGGCTGCTTTCCCACGCCATAAGCAAGGAACTTGAAGGGAATTAGAGCAACTAGGATACAAACTGGCTCCTGAGTGGGATCCTGGCACATACTAGAAGAGGACTTTAGCCACTAGACTACCAGGTCGGGTCCTGCAATCTAGCTTTTAAAGGCATGTCTTGATATATTTCTCAGAATCAAGCATTGTGAGCTTTTATTCTTAGAACACAGTAAAACTAAAATCAGTAACAATGAATAACCAGAAAAATTACTTTCCTTTGGAAAATTTAGAAACACATTCTTAAGAGACTACATTTCTGAGGGTATTGCAAAAATTTGTGAACCTTCTGAAGAGAGTAATACTGAAAATGTTTCTTATTTTGAGACTAAGGCAAGAGGCACTGCAGAATTGAAGAGTAAAAAGATTAAGATCAGGTAACCACTATGTATAAGTAATTTGGATAAGTAAGTTATGGAGACAGAAGGAGAAAGGTTTAGGAAGGAAAGGAATGTGAAAGGATCACAGGGAGGGTGCATAAGAGGAGACCGAGATGGAGGCACAGGAAAAGGAGGGAAGAGAAAGAAAATGGTGGCGAGAATAGAGGATCAATATGGAGAAGAGAAGGAAAAGGTCCCAGCATGGTAGCCTACCTGCTAAAGTCCTCTCCTTGTGTGCACCAGGATCCCATATGGACGCTAGTTCTGTTCCTGCGTCCCTGCTTGCTGACCAGCTCCCTGCTTGTGACCTGGGAAAGCAGTCAAGGATGGACCAAAGCCTTGAAGCCCTGCACCCATGTGGAAGACCTGGAAGAGGCTTCTGGCTTCAGATAGGTTCAGCTCTGGCAGTTGTGACTGCTTGGGGTATGAATCACCAGTCAGACGATTTTCCTCTGTCTCTCCTCTCTTTGTATATGACTTTCCAATAAAAATTAACAAATCTGAAAATAAAAAAAGAAGAGAAGGAAAGGAAATGGGAGAGAGAGAAGGGGATGAGGAATTGAAGGGGAGGGGAGAAAATAGAAATGAATTGAGGAGGATGTTATGTGAAGTGGAAAGGGGATGTAAAGGAAGGGGAGGGGAAGGAGGCTGATGTGGGAACTGGGGAGAGGAGAGCAAGAAGAAAGCGAGAAGGACCGAGGGATTGTGGAAGGGAAGGGAGGTAAATGTCAGGAAAAGGATCGGAAGGGAAAGTGAAGGAAAAGGAAGATGTTCAAATATGTAAAGTCCCCTTTGTTTTAATAAAATCTCTTAGTTATGTATTTAGCTGCAGAGACACACTATATAACTTACATGTACATACATGACATATATAATGAGATACGCAAACAAAACAGTTTCTCATAGAACTTACTACACTATACTTAGGACTCTGATTTTCCACCACTGCGTATACCAGGGCTTCCACGGACACCTACACTTGCCTTCGAGAGATAATACAAAATTCTTAGGCTGCTTCCTTTAGAAACAAGAACATGCATCGGCCAGGCATGTATTACCAGTTGTTCTGTGGGCTTAAAGCTATAACTTCTCTAATTGGTACAAGTTGTTGATGGAAGATATGGATGATAATTAAACTGCTGAATACGAAAATTAAAATAGACATGAGACAGCTGAAGAGTAATCTATAGCCATTTAAAGGTGTATAGAACCCAGCTGTATATATAAACTAATAATTGTAATGTCAGTGTATAAGTCATAGGATGTGGTTCAGAACTTGCACTCTTTTCTCTCTCTCTCTCTCTCTCTCTCTCTTAACATGCTGGTGTGTTGGATAAACAGACTGGACCTGACTGCCATAGATTTGAACTGGCATCTACTGATTTCTCAGATGCTTGTTCAGGAAACAGGATCTGAGTTTGAGGAGTTAGCTCGCTGAGAGGCACTACACATTGGATGTGGACATTTGAGTGCTAGTGTGACTGACCAGGTAAAAGCACTTTGCCTGATCCATTTGGTTTGCGTAAGTACTGAGATGTGGTGTTTGCATCCATATTCATTCCTACTTAGCACAAGTAACACAAAGTTGGTTTTGGCATGTGTTTCCACTCAGTATGTCTATTTGTTCCTTCTGTGTACCAGTACCAAGTATGTGGTGTTGGCATCTAGATTCACTTCTTTTATTCAAACCTGAGCAGAAGTACTGATATGTAGTTTTGGATTCGGGTTTGGATTTGGGTGTGGTGTTTGGGTTCACATTCAGATTCAGGTTCAGGTTCAGGGTTCTATTTCTGGTTTGGGTTAAAGTTAGGGTATAGGGTTAGTGTTAGAGTTTGGATTCAAGTTCAGGTTAGGATTTAGGGTTAAGGCTTGGGTTAGTGTCCGCATTAGCTAGGCTTAAGTTCAAGTAAATTGGTTGCAAATAGGACTCATTTTAGGTACTTGTTTAACTTTAGTGTTATGGAGGGTTAGTATTAAGCATAGGATTAGGTTTAGGGTTCATGGTTGTGGTTTGGATTAGGGCTAGAATCAGGCTTAGTGTTTAGTGTTAAGGTTATTCTTGCTTAAGGATTAGGTTTATCTTTTTTTGTGGTTAGACATTATTTAAAATATTTTTTATTTGAACACAGTTTGTAGTATTCAAGCAAGATTTATAGAACTTCATGCATTTTAGGGTGATCAAAAACAGTTTTATAACTCTAACAAGCCATAAATTAGCAATTGAATAATAGAACAGTCTTAGGCAGGTGGCAGAGAAATCCACAGTAATGTACCAAGCGAGGAATACTGAACTCTACATCCTACCTAGTGAGGTCTAGGAAAAGCCAAATTGGGAGCCTGACCAGTAAGGTACTGGCTGAACAATTATATGCCAGCTGACTTTCTCCTGTCTGTTCAAAACTTTGTGTATTAATCTCTTGTCTATCTGGGGCCCCTGAGTGACCCAGATGGTTGGCTTTAATGTTATGGTTTGGGTTATGTTTACGTGTTGGGATTAGGGGTTAAGGTTATTACATAGGGTTATTTCAGGGTTAGGATTCGTATTATATTTAGGGGATGGTTTTTTAGTGGTTTGGGTTTGGACTATTGTATGGGGTAGGGTGGGTTTTAGGGCTTAGAGTTAGGGTTAGTATTAGAGTTAGTGTTAGGCTGATAGCTAGGGTTAGGGATTATAGGTTTTGTTTTTTTAAGGTTTATTTTGTTTTTAATGGAAAGTCGGATATACAGAGAAGGAGAGACAGAAAAATCTTCTGTTTGATGACCCACCCCTCAAGTGATTGCAGTGGCCGGAGCTGAGCCCATCCAAAGCCAGGAGCCAGGAGCTTCGGGTCTCCCACTTGGGTGCAGAGTCCCGAGGCTTTGCGTCACCCTCAACAGAGGAAGTCCAGTGTATGTAAGGGTCTCCTAAGCAGTTGCTCAAGCACTCCCCCAAATCCTCACACCTGCTGATTTTGACTGAACATCTTTATAGGATTGTGTTTTCTGTGTTTTATTAAGGTTTCAAGGATATGTGTCTCCTAAATTTTTGTTTGTATAGTTTCCCTAGAGTCTGGAATTTATAGTTGCAAATAATCTAAACCCAATTTTAAATAATACTGTACTATTTCTTGAGAAGTTCAGCTATATTATAGACCCAGTTTTTTTACCTGTATATAATAATTATCCTGTATATAATTTTTGCCATTCTTTTTAGTTATTGGAAATTATAACAGTTTTATTCATTATTGGTAATCATTTTAAATACAGGTTTAACTACTAAATAATATCAGAATGGAGAAAATGAATGTACTAGCATTTGATGTCAGATGTTTTTTTTCCTTTTAATGACCAGCATCAAAAATCATGATGTACTTCTTGTCCGATTAATTTTTCTACTATTTGTTTAAGAGAATGTGGTAGAAGTCATAATTCCAGTTCACTGATTTACTTCCCAAATGCCCAAACTGCAAAGTATGAATCAGAGTCAACTGGGATCTGAGAACTCAATGCCATCACCACTGCTTCCCAAGGTCTGCATTAACAGGAAGCTGGAATCAGGATCAGAACTAGGGATGCCACCCAGGTACTAGAGTGTAAGACAGAAGTTTCTTAACAGCTAGACGAAATAACTTACTCTGTATTTTTTTCTTGCTGTTATCTGAGATATGTTGATTCAATTTTAAGTACATTTCCTGTAGTTTTACAGTGGTGTTAAAATGAGTAAAGCATTTGGGTGACAAGGTCATGAATATTTCAGGCATGCATGGGGACTGAGACCAAATGTTTGGACAGAAGTATCCATAAGATAATTTGGAATAGACTGATCCACCAGCCCAATTAGGAATCCAGAGATGGGCTGTTAGCTCATCACTGATGGCCACACACCAGTCTACACCAAAGCTATGGATCACGGTGGCCTGTTTGGTAGGGTTAGGTACCATTGCCTGACTGGATGGTGAAGTGGTCACATTTGGCAGAGTCAAGACATTATCCAGCACGCTAGAGAACTTGAACTGGGGGTAGACTCTCTGGGGTTGTGTGGGCCCAACCCTGTGGAAATACAAGTCCCCCTAGTTAGCTCGCAAACTAGGGTTGCGATGGACTAAGCTAGGTATGACCATGGCATCTGCTTTCACTCACGTGTAAAGGAACCCACAATATTCTGGGCAGGTCAAGACAGCAGCACTTGATGTGCATCCTAAAGTAGAATGTGGGGTGGGCCGGGCTGCAACTGGAAGGGGGCAGAATGGGCAGGGCCGAACAAACCTTAACTCACAATAAAGAACAGAAATCAGGCTGGAGCACAGGTCATGCCAAGTAGGTCCTTGCACCTACTGATCTGCGTGAGCCAGGGGCGCTAAGCCACAGCATCTAAGGCAGGGACCAGGACAGGTAAGGGGCTCTGCCTAGCTGAGTCAGAGCATCCATTGGCCTGCGCCTAATCTAAGGCTGGGAATGGGCCCGGTTGGGGAGCTAAGGGGACACCATAGCTGGGTTGAGTTTCCCATCAAGGAGCGCATGGGCTGGAATGGGGGCTGCATTCTGATCAGGATACGGTGGTTTGGGACTGAAAGTGTGGATTGGGACTGAAAGCACCAAAGCGACCTAGACTCCAACACCATCTGGTGCTCTGGAAGACCAGGGTAGATGTGTGACAGACTAGGCTAGGTCTCAGCCCTTACTGAACCATGTGTGAGCTGTATGTTGGTATAGAAGAGCCATGGCTGGATTGAAACATCCAACAGTAAGAAACGGATTGGGTTGAAGGCCAGTCAGGAAAAGCCACTGTTCCTGCTAGGATAGGATGTAAACTGAGTAGGGCTGGCTCATGGACCAACTGGTATGTGCAAAACCTGGCAATGGGAGAGGTTCTGATGGAGGAGCCTGGGCAACTCCTCTGGCAGGACACAGACCCTGCAGGTAAGTGCAAGAACCACAGTAGGAAACAGCCGAGAACAGGCTATGGAAATTATCCTACTGGCATACATTTGTCATGGGTTGGGGGCAGACCAGGCTGAACCCGTTCACAGCACCTGCTGGCGAATCTGAGCACCAGAATAGAGTGTGGGTTGGGCCAGGTTCAGTTGTGACATAAAACCAGTATACATTCAGGAATGCCAAGGTGAGGTTGCCATACCAGATGTGGTTGTAGCACCCAAACAGCACATAGGAAAGCAGAGGGGAGGAGGCAAAGTCGACAGGGGAATGTGGGCTCCCCTGCTGGACAACTACTTCCATTGGAAAATGTGGGTCAGGATAGGGGCAGATCAGACTAGGCAGGGCTAGAATACCTGTGGGACTCTTGTGAGCTAGACAAGAGAATGGCCAGGGTAGGCTGACTGGTCCGACTGGTACAAGCAAAAATTAGAGTGAGTAAGGGATGGTTGGGCTTAGCTGCAGCATTAGCTGGCAGAGGCTGGCACTGGGAGCTAATTCTGTCAAGTCAAATGCCAGATCCACCTGGAGAGTGCATAATCTTGGAGTGGGAGTGGCCTCGTAGGGAGATAGTGGGCACCTCCCTTGGGGTTACCACTCCCACTGGACAGCACAAAAACCAGGATGGGGCAGGGGTGGCTAGATAGAAAGGCACCTGCCAGTAAGTATGTGGGCTGGATTGTAGGTTGGTTGGGTTTGAACTAGGCTTCAATGCCCATTGAAATGTATGAGAGCTAAACGGGATGTGGTACAGTACATACTGGTAAGCATGGGAACCAGGGTAGTGGGCAGAACTGGTGGGGGTTATGGGGAGTCACCCCAATTAAGCTGCAGCTCCCACTGGTTGGCGTTAGAATCAAGTATGAAGTGGGTAGGATCGAGCTGGACTACAACACCTGTTGGTTCACTAGGAAGACAAGGTTGGAAACAGATGGACCCAGCAATTGCAACCACCAGCATGTGCATAAGCTGAGTGGTGTGACAGATGGTGTTGGAGTCTGTACTGGCAAACTCACTCAAGAATCAGATCTGGGATCATCACAGATGAAGTTTCTTTGGAGATCCCTCCAGCTGAACTGCTGATCTTAGAACTCCAACCATCAAGAGACAGCCTCATCGTGCCTGGAGTGGTGAGATTGGCAGCAATTCAGAACTGTTGAACTATCAAAACTGCTTGAGCAGGCTCCTCGGAGTGTGCCTCACACTGGGGACCTGGGATGGGTAGGAGGCTGGGTGGGAGGCTGGATGGGGCTTTCCCTTTGTTTCTCTCCTGACCCCAGATACAGGGAAAAAATGATAATATTAGTGTGGAAACAATATTATTACCCACTTTCACCCTGTAGCCCTTGACCCTTTATACTCTCATCAACTAAGTAAGATTATTAAAAAATAATAAAAAGAAGAAAAAAATGAGTAAAGCATTGTAACGAGGGGATGGGTGTAGTGGAATGGATGCACCTTATTTCAGTGCACTTTATTCAGATCCTGGCTACTCCACCCTTTCAATCCAACTTTCTACTAATGTATCTGAGAAGCATCTGGTTGTTGCATAAGTACTTGCGTATCTTCTACCCA